TAATATTATGATTCATGAGATGACGAGGGAGCATGACGGCGGCTTCCCGGCCAATCAGAATGCCGGGCGCTGCGTCATTACACGGCGCCCGGTTTCCGGATTTGCTAGCTTCCTGACCAATCGGGAAGCCGGGCAGCGCGTCATTGCACGCTACCCAGCTTCCTGATTGGCCGGGAAGTCGGCTCCATTCTTTCTCATCACAAGTGACGTTTCCTGGCCAATCAGGAAGCCGGGCAGCGTGTAATGATGCGCTGCCCGGCTTCCTGATACAGGAAGTACTCGTGCTAGGTATCTGAGCATTTGGCCGAGTACGAGTACTCGCCCAAATACTCGGTATCGGCACCGATACCGATACTAAGATCGGTATTGGTGCATCCCTAATCTTGGAATATGCCCAATGTGCCATAAGGGAAGAAAAATCCATTGATTGAAAAACCTGACCATTCAGTAATTCAGATAGGCATCTCAAATGTTTTGCGCAGATAATGTTGCTGAAACTAGACCTGTTATCCAATGGAAGGCTTTGGCCTATTCGCTGAGCTAAACCCATCCAAGTGGTGACTTTTTCTTTGGATAGGCAGTATATTTTTGCCCATATAGTGGAAGTTTAATTGGATTGGATGGTTCTCATGAAGTGAATGATATTCATGGTTCTTGTAACTAAAGGCTAATGTGGGAGTTGATAAGGAAGGTTTTAGTTTCCTCTGTTTGACCAAATTGTCAAAATTTCCTCTGGAGATTGTTTTATACTTCCTCTTGTCCGAAAGTTGTGAAAGCTGATCTTAATGGGCATGTATCTTTTCCCAACTTAGTACAACGAAAGTGTATGGTAACCATGTGTCCTTGCGGTGAATTGAGCCCTGGTCACTTCTGATAAGTGTCAAAGTTGACAAAAACTTGTACAATAACATGGCCACCACTCTACAGCAAGGCCGTGCAGCAAAACTTAGGACAATATTGTGTGATGATCTGCTGGGCGGTAAAGGCATAGTCCACCTTTGCGATCGTGTTTCATATTACAACCGTATTTAAGGTGTTACATGAAGTGGCTGCAGTCTCCCAACTATTAGCTGAGCGTTGGGGTGCTTCTTGCTCCTGGTTGTCACGCACAGCCACACTGAATTTAAGTAACTCATCACAACCACATCATCCATTCACAGGGATCGGTTGATAGGAATGGTACAGGTCCCATCTGCCACTATGCCTTACACTGGCAGCAGGATGGGAACATCCCTGTCCATAGTTTCTGCCCCCTACCCCCATAAATAAGGGTCTGTACCTGTAAATAAGGTTTAGGAAAGTGCTGGAATTCTTTAGCTTTATACCTGTTGCATGTTAGCAACTTAGACAGTATTGAGCGCAAAGCATCGGCATGACAGCCAGCGAACAAACTATGTCAAAATGAGTGATCAGCAATGGCAGCCTCCGTTTTTCTGGTATATATAAAAAAAAAATTACTCTACTCTAAACTCTGTCCTTCCCTTCAGTCTTGTATCTGACCTCCGTCCTTCCCTTCAGTCTTGTATCTGACCTCCGTCCTTCCCTTCAGTCTTGTATCTGACCTCCATCCTTCTCTTCAGTCTTCTATCTGACCTCCGTCCTTCCCTTCAGTCTTGTATCTGAACTCCGTCCTTCCCTTCAGTCTTGTATCTGACCTCCGTCCTTCCCTTCAGTCTTCTATCTGACCTCCGTCCTTCCCTTCAGTCTTCTATCTGACCTCTGTCCTTCCCTTCAGTCTTCTATCTGACCTCCGTCCTTCCCTTCAGTCTTCTATCTGACCTCCGGCCTTCACTTCAGTCTTCTATCTGACCTCCGTCCTTCCCTTCAGTCTTGTATCTGAACTCCGTCCTTCCCTTCAGTCTTGTATCTGAACTCCGTCCTTTCCTTCAGTCTTCTATCTGACCTCCGTCCCCCCCTTCATTCTTCTATCTGACCTCCGTCCTCCCCTTCATTCTTCTATCTGACCTCCGTCCTCCCCTTCAATCTTGCACGGTTGTACTGGCTTCTCTCCTCGACTGAAATGGCTTCCTCTGATGTCACTGCACACTTTCTCACAAAGTGAATTAGAAGCTGCAGCAAGTCAGATAGAGCCCGCTCCATTTCCTGGCTGGAGGACGTCCAGCATCATTTAGTCAAAATATATGCAGTTTTGTTATTTATTCAGCTTTAGCAAATGAGAAAAAAATAATCCAAAATGCTCAACGATATGAATCTATGTACATTTTTATTTGCCATTAAGAAGACATTCAGTATTGATATGCACACAACTGCTTGTGTATAACATTAAATAAAAAATATTTCTTTGTAGGACGGAATCCCGCCATCAGAGTTCAGGCAGAGTGCTCTTTGAGGGGTGAGCTCTGAGCTAGAAGAGAATGAATCAGATCAGAATTTGACCAATTCTAATTTAAAAAAAAAAAAACATTTAACTAGTGAGATGGCGGGATGCCTATGGATAACTTTTGTGTACCTCCTCAAGATCTGCGTTTTGTTGAGGATCCTGCTACCTGAAAGCCAATGAAACAGCAGGTGACACAAACATCTGAAGCTGACATGTCCTGTACTACTAATGGAACTATACTATTGGATGACATCTGATCCAGCTGTGTTCAGTTTGCTCAGCGTTGGGGGCCACCATTACTTTCTATGGGTACAAACCATCTCACTGGCTGGTCTAATTGCGATACTTAAAGTGCAACTCCTGACAAAACTTTTTTTTTTTTTTTAGTAGCGTAAGGAAGAGGTTAGGGTGACGGCTACACAGGCAGCAATAATTGAAGGATCGAACCCGGGGTCAGCAACCATTCCACAATAAGTGTCAATTTACAAGCATTATACAATTGGCATTCCAATAGCCTACCATCGCCCCCTGATTATTCCCAAGTTCTAAACATTCAGATCCAGATCAGTCCCAATTTCTATACATTTAGACATCAGATCAGCCCCAATTCCTGCACCTTCAGACCTCAGATGAGCCCCAATGCCTGCACCTTCAGACCTCAGATGAGCCCCAATTCCTGCACCTTCAGACCTTCCATCAGCCCCAATTTCTGCACCTTCAGACCTCAGATCAGCCCCAATGCCTGCACCTTCAGAATGCAGATCAGCCACAATTCCTGCACCTTCAGACCTCAGATCAGACCCAAATTCTTGCACCTTCAGTCCATAGATAAGCCCAAATTTCTGAACCTTAAGATCTCAGATGAGCCTCGATTCCTAAACCTTTGCACCTCAGCTCAGCCCCAATTCCTGCACCTCAGCTCAGCCCCAATTCCTGCACCTATGACAAAGGGGGTAGGCCTGTGGGCTTCTTCATGTGACAATGTTTGCAGCCGAGGGCAGGCCTTTGCTGGTACTTGGAGGCAGGCCAGCACCTGAAAGTCAGTGAAGTCAGGTGAGCTTCTTTGGAGTTGGGTGGGCTGTGGGGCAGGCCAGGCAGTGCTGATGTATTTGTAGGTGCTGTATCTTTAGAAACAGGGGCCCATTGGAGGATCCTCTGGTCCACCATGCTCTCAGTCCATGCATGTCCCAAGACACCCTCACATGCCACTGAAAGACATTTCCTGCCCACCCTGGCGCTTGTGCCCTAGTCTGCTAGTGATCTAATCCTTCCCATACTCTATCCAAAAGTAACAATGGAAAAGAAAAGCTCTAGCAGAGCTAAGGGAGGCTGAACTTTTCTTTTAGTCAGAGGACATCTTCAAAGGAAAAAAATTACAGCACATTAAAAGAGAGTTCCATCTTCACGACATAACGGATAAAAGAGCAATGAACCAATATTGCCAACTGGAGATCAATGAAAATGTCCCTGCATACACTTAGAATGACTCCTCATGACCATGTCTATCTTAAGGTTTTGTTTTTTTTGCTAGAATGTTTTTATTTTTTTGTTTTTTTTTGTTCCTTTTTTTTTTGTTCTGACTGCTGTAGATTATACTTTTAATACCAATAGAAAAGAGAGATATGTAAGATTCATAACCAACCTAAAAATGTAAAAGAACAACACAGAGAACAAAACAAAACAGTTCTATACATAAGATAATAAGACAGTTCAGACAAAGGTGTAATAAAAGGTCACAAGGTAACAACAAGGTCATTTGCTGCCACAACCATCTCCATTTGTGAGGAAATTCATGTGCTGTCATTAAAAGTGGTCCTCGGTAATATTCAGGTCACTTAAAAGTCTTTGAATCCTTTATGGTATACTGTAATAACCACAAACTATGGCAACAATCTTAAAGTAGAACCTGGAGAAACCCCCCCCCCCCC